GAGACCAACAGGATTGAAACTCCCCTTGCTTCAATTCCCGACCAGCAGACCAAACAAGCAACTGTAGAAGCTGCTGAGGAGGACGAATGGGCCCCGACGAAAAAGTCTAAGAAGGATAAGAAGAAAAAGCGACACTCAACCGCGGATGAACTCATCTCAAATGAGGGTGCCCAAATAACGACTCCTGCGGACCACCACCGGACAAGCGTTGATGCTGACGCCACTTTGGTAGCCCCGAGCTTCTCACTTGGGGATCAGGAAACAAAGGAGCCAGCGACAGAAGCTGTGGAAGAGGATGAATGGGCACCGATCAAGAAGTCTAAGAAAGAGAAGAAAAAGAAGAGACAGTCTGCTATAGAAGAACTAACTATAAAAGAACCCGGTCATGGAAGCCTGAATGAAGACGCCACAATGATAACTCCCCTCGCCTCAATTGCAGACCAAGAACCAAATCAACCAATGGCAGAAGCTACCGAGGAGGATGAGTTGGCGCTTACCAAGAAGTCTAAGAAGGATAAGAAGAAAAAACGGCAGTCTACCTTTGACATCCCCTTTGAGGAAGATGATGGTAGGATCTCCACTAGTGGAGCAGAGACAAATGAAGAAGTGGCCACCGTTGATCCTGAAGGTATTGACATTCCAGAGACCACCGCAGAGCAAGCCATGGTAGGTTCAGATAGTAAGGTTGGGCTAGGTGCTGAGTCGAACGAGCATTTTTCAGCACTCGTAGTGCAACCCCGATCAGAAAGTCAGAAGGATCTCGAAAGCGTCAACTTGGACACCAAAGATGTTGCCACAGAGCCATCTCCGAACTATTTGAGCAGTTCGCATCGCGGAACAATTGGAGGTGTACTTGAGGACCAACCATTCCAAGAAGAACTTTCAGTAACAACGGACCCACCAGGGTCACGGGGCAAGTCTGTCGACATTGGTGGTTTCGTTCCCGCTCGGCAGGAAGCGATCAGCGAAAGTGTTGAAGATGGTATCAACCCAGTCGAGACATCCTCAATGACGAAGCCAGTTGAGGCAAATCCCGGTATTGTTGATATTGGAAGTTTGCAGGGCACCGAAACGCTCAAGTCACCAGACAGAGGCATTGCCAATGATGATTCGAGTCCAGCTGATGTTGAAACAACTGAGCCAGCATCTATAGGAACAGACCTCGAGGGCGAGACTGTCAAGGAAACCCGGACTGAAACTGAGTTCATAACACCTGCTAAGAAGTCAAAGAAGGACAAGAAGAAGAAACGAGCGTCGACTTTTGAAGACACGGTCGAGGAGCCTAAAGAAGAAGTGGTCGATCCACCTGAGCATATGGCCATTGATACTCTGACAGGTGAGCCAGCTCCGGCCGCAGAAACCCAAGCGGAGTTCGTCATTTCATCGAAAAGGTCCAAAAAGGAGAAGAAAAAGAAACGCCAGACAACGTTTGATGAGGCGTTCACAGGTCAACAAGACACGCTTCCAGTACAGAACGTTGAAATTGAGCTAGAGCAAAAACCTTCTTTATTAGATCCAGCCTTGCCACCAATGTCGAACGACGTGAAGACTCAAGAATCGCCTGACTTCACTGATAAGAGCATCTCAACCGGAATTCTTAAACCCAAGGATTATCTTGATCCTAGCAACCTGAAGGACGGCCTCGATAACGAGAAAGAAGAAGCTAAGCAATTTGTCAATACTCCTCAATATGCAGATCTATCAGCCTCTCGTAGTTTAGATCTACCTAGCAAGGATGCGGCTTTGAAAAGCCAAGGCCTGGACCACGTAACGGTCGCTGAACCTGAATGGGGCTTCTCGAGGAAACCCAAGAAAGATAAAAAGAAGCGTCAGTCGATGTTCAACGAGACTGTGGTCAAACCACATGAAGATGATGGTGTCACTTTAGGTGCAGATGCATCTAACAACGAATCCGAAGAGATATCTCCAGATACTCGACTTGAAACAGGCGCGTCCGCGCCAGAACCAGGTTGTGGTTTTGAGCAAGTCACCCAAGAAGCCAAAGGAGTCATCCCCACCACCGAATCCTCTCAACATAAGGCTCCCGTCGAGTTCGAGTTTGAAACCCCAAAGAAGTCGAAAAGGGATAAAAAGAAAAACCTACAGTCAGACTTCGTTGAAGATGACTGGGAAACTCCACGGTCAAAAGAAGAATCTGTAGATTCTTCTCAGCACCAAATAGACCAAGACTCTGTTGCAACTAGCGGAGATAAGACTGTTGAATTGTTCGCTCAAACTGATACTCTAGACAGGGCAGACGGTACTGAGCGTAGTGCAATTCTCGAGCAGCAAGAACGCTGGGAAGAGAAGCAATTGAACGAGCAGCGAGCAGCGTTGACCAACGAAACTACTTTACACGAGCAAAGCGTCTCGGGAACGAACAAAGATGCTACGGAAGAGCACAGCACATTCAAAGGTGTTATGGCTGCCGTCAGCGCCGCTGCTGCTGCTGCTGCTGTACTCGACGCTGAGTGGGCTACGCCGTCAAAGAAGTCCAAGAAGGAGAAGAAGAAGAAGAAACGACAGTCTACATCCGAGGAAGGTACTCTTGACACCTCAGCACCTGGAACTCCCTTGATGGAAGAGACACCACTCGAGGATATTCCCAATCAAGGCCCTTCAATGAACGACTCCATACCCGTAGAAGATCGAAGCTTTGCAGGGAAGAAATTGAAGAAGAACAAAAAACAAACTAAAGTGGAAGTTCTGGGAGACGGCGTGCAGACATCGGGGACGGGCACTCCAAGATCCACTGATCAATTCGACACTGCTGTTCAAACGCCCTTAGATTCATCGGCCATCACAGAAACGATTGATAACCAAGAGGAAATTCTTCACACCAGCGAACGGCCAGAAAATCCACCTGAGGACTACGTCCCTGCTGTGGACAGGAAGAAGTCGAAGAAGGACAAGAAAAAGAAGAAAACGTCTTCACTCTGGGTGGACGATGACAATCAACGTGCTCTTAAGCCTAGAGAAACGGCAACAAGCGTTCTTGAAGCCGAGGACTCTTATGTTCAATCGAAAATGGATGGCACAGGTCCTGAAGACTCAGCCCCTGTTGCCCAGCCCAAGGAGTCTGCGGCCATAGTACTACCAAATGAGATGGATTCTGATGACCGAAGCCAGCCTATGTTTCATGACGAGGGGGACAAGACTCGGCAACAGGAGATCCACCTTTCGCACAATCCCGAACCATCTCATGAACCACAGCTTGAGGAATCTAGTTCAAGCTCAGTGTTAAGGCCTCGAGACGAACCGATCGAGGATGACATGGAGGGTGTCATTTCGTCAGAGAGGTCCATATCTGCGCAACCAGAAGCTGCGACGGATAACCAGCAAGAGAATGACCTCACATCGCGATCGCCTATCCTTGACGACGTGAGAACACCACGCGGCACCAAGAGCAAGAAAAGCAAGAAGGAGAAAAGGATCTTCGAATTCAATGGAACAGAAATGATCAATTCCCCACTAATCAAACCCGAAGACGAAATGGTCCCCCCTCGTTCCATGGAAGGTTTAATTGACAATCAAGTTCACTCCGCAGACGCTTCCCCTGAACAAAGCAATAGTCGTGGTCAGCAAGTGTATGAGGATCCCGAACCTCTCTCAGACGTGAGTGCCACGACACGAGAAAGACGGAAGAGACGGCGCTCACCTCCTGCTTGGGCAGGCGAGGAACCTGAGGATCTACCAAGGAATCGATCGGTGACTCCACCTCCTGAACATGACGACTTGATGGACACTGCCCTTGGAGTAGCTGCCGGACTGGGATTTGGAGCGGCCGAGTATGAATCGACTCGAAGTGCCCGCCCCAGGTCCTCTTCGCCTGCTCGGAGACAATCGACAGGCTGGTCATTTGCCAAACTTGGACCAGGCGCTAGGGTTGGCCAAACGGAATCTAATAGAGATAGTGGCGTACAGTTCGAATCGCCGATTCTCGCAGCAGACCAGGCCTCGTCGAACCGAGATAGTGGGTTCGTTTCTGAACCCTCAGAGCGTCAAAGGGGCGGAAAATCCCGGGGCTTAGACATCTCACTCCGACCTCCTCGACCACAGTCACCAACAAGCTCGACCGAAGATGTATCAAACAATCGGCAGGGAAAAGTGGGCAAGGACGAGAAATCAACCTTAGAAACCCCAAGGCGACAACCGTCCCCAATTGATTCCACTTCTAAAGAGCGATCTTCAGTTTTGTTCAACTCTTCGCCGGCAATACCAACTCCACTCAAGACCAACGTAGGGCCCTTCAGTCCAGAACTAGTATCAAGCCCTCTTCGACGAAGTCCAAGCATACATGGTCATCACCAGAGTCGCGAGGAGCTGAAACAGAAGGGCCGGGTCAGCCATGATCTTGAGCCGAGAGATTCGCTTGCATCGAATTTGATTGATCGATCCGCCAGAGCTGAAGTGCATCGGGATGCTTTTAGTCCAGGGCCTGACACGGCGGAACGTGCCTTTCTACCGCATAGAATGTCTTTGAACACCATCCGGGAGGATCCCGTTGACACCTCGGCAATAACAGGGGAAATCCATCCATTTGCAAGTCCACCCCTGTCTCTCACTCCTCATCCACGTGGCTCCAGGGACAACCTCAAAGATGTTGGTCTTGCAGCAGCCGTGGCGGCAGCTGGACTGACAGCACTCGCACTAACAAAGACGCCTTCACGTGACTCCGATCTGTCTCACGCTAAATCGCTTGGCAAAAGCAAATCGAGGACTTCGTCGATACGCAACCTCCGCGCGAACGCAGCTTCTCCCTACGATGCGATCAACGCCACGGGGGGACCATCCCATGTTCCTGTCAATGATAACGACATAGTTGGCTCTGGCGTCCGCGATAGGGACATGTCAGACATCTACGTAAGTACTCCAAGCAAGAATGTTTGCGAAGCGCTATGAGTCCCTGCTAACCGCCTTGTGTGTAGGATGGGTACGGCTCATACCCTGGTAGCCCCAGGTCTCCAACACGCCCTCCCAGTGTTCGGAGACGACAGAGCATGCAACAAATTAAAGACCTCGAGACCCGCTTGGACCAATTAGCAAATGAGAACCGTGCGCTTGTCGAGGCCAAAATGGTGGCCGAACAGCAACTCGAAGCAGTCCATTTCGAGCACAACCGATCGGAAAACACCAGCGGCCAGGAGTTGCAGGCTCTCTCGGCCCAGCTACGAGACCGTGATTCCGAGATCTCACATCTCAAAGAACAAGTCGCGTCGTTGATTGCAACACACGAGACATTGCAGAGAGAGCATGAGCATCACCTGGCCACACTTCAGTCGGAGCGTGAGCACGAGCAAGAATCAGCACGGGAACTCGAGGTGCTGCGTTTGCGACACACTGAGCTGTCCCAAGGAATGGAATCGATTGTCAGACACGAGATTGACACTGCACTAGCAGAGAAAGATGCCGAGATCCAACGATTACGACAAGACCTTGACGCAGCCCGCGAAAAGGTGCGGGAGCTACAATCACAGATATTGTCTGGAGGCGCAGACGAAGTGTTGACGGTACGGGACGAGGATTATTTTGACTCTGCCTGCCAGCAACTGTGCCAGCAAGTGCAGGGGTGGGTGTTGCGATTTTCCAAATACAGTGATACTAGAATGTGCCGAACCACTAACGAAGTGCGCGATGAGAAGATTGTGGATCGCTTCGACAATGCCATCCTTGATGGATCCGATGTGGACATATACTTGGGCGATCGTGTAAAGCGACGTGATGTTTTCATGTCGGTGGTGATGACAATGATCTGGGAGTATGTCTTTACTCGATACCTGTTCGGGATGGATCGAGATCAACGTCAGAAACTCAAGCAGCTGGAGAAGAACCTGGCAGAAGTCGGCCCGGCTAGTGCAGTGCATCAGTGGCGAGCTCTGACGTTAACGTTACTTTCGAAACGAGAGAGCTTCCAGGCTCAACGAGACAGCGATGCGGAGGCGGTTTCCCTCGAGATCTTCTCGACTTTGTCCAGATTTCTTCCTCCGCCACAAAATCTTGAGGGACAAATTGTTGGGACATTGCGCAATGTCTTGCACACGGCGGTGAACTTATCGATTGAGATGCGCATACAACGGGCAGAGTACATTATGCTCCCACCATTGCAGCCTGAATATGATACCAACGGGGATCTTGCACGAAAAGTATATTTCAATGCAAGCTTAATGAACGAGCGCAGTGGGGAAACGACCAGCAACGACGAATTGGAGAAGAACCAGGCTGTTGTTCGGATGGTTCTTTTCCCCCTGGTGGTCAAGAAAGGGGATGATACAGGTGTGGGAGATGAGGAGATCGTGGTGTGTCCGGCACAGGTACTGATTGCGCGCCCCGACAAGGGCAAGAAGCCACGAGGGTCTATGAGGGTGGCAAGCGGAGATAGCAAGAGTCTCCGAGCAGTCAGCACGCACAGTCTTGGGGCGATGAGTGGGATAGATACGAATGAGAATATGACCTGAGGAGAAGAGCGGTGGAAATATTTGAACTTCTGCATTGCGAGGGTTTTTCTGGGCAAGAATTTCTAATGGTTTGGATCGGACTGGATTTGCGCATGGATGTTATAACGATGTGACGAATTTCATCATGTATAATATAGTACGAGTATATTATAGTAAAATGGTAGGATGTGTGATCTCACTAGCTGTAGGTTTTCTAAGCCACGAAAGGTCAACTCAGTATCCTTCTCTACTACTATATTGCACACCGAGTATAGAACTCCGAACAAAGGCACATGATAGTAAAGACCATTACTCCCACTCGTATGAGTGTTGGGATGGAAGAAGGTTGGACATCAACCAGCGGAAGTGACGGCCCGCCAATGGTCACGATCGCTAAGGGCGCTTTCCCCCACAGAGGCTCGAGGGGCTCGTGTGCGACGAGTCAAGAACGGGAAGGAACGCGACAACCACAAAATCCCATTTGCACCTGCCTGAACTTTGAAAATCCTCCTTATCGCGAACGGGCCAACAGAATTGGGGCGCCAGCCAGGCTTGCAGGAAGGAGCTCCACTGCGCCTGCCTGCACCTTATAGTTGCACCACGTCATACAAACCTTAGTTACGGTACCTACCACAAAACCTTCATCAACTCAGCTCATCTTCAACTCGTGACATCTCTTTTGGCTTATTCACACACATACACCCACACGCTCACTCACTCTCACACACACACTCTCTCTCTCCCTCTTTCTTTCGATAGTGCCCACACATACTCCCTGTGCAGCTCATTTGTTGTTATTCGCACGGTCTTTACTCCCCCCCTCCTCCCACCATGCAGCCTTTGCCTCCTCCTTCCAACCGAGGCCAATCTTCTTCTTCAGCGTTCCAGTCCACAGATACCATAATCGCTCCTGCCACCGAGGGGAAAAAGAAAAGAAAACATCGCGGCGGCAAGAAGCGGAGGAATCGGCGTCAGTCTTTTGCTGCTCCTCCTTCAGAAGCATCTGCCCGTCCCAGTATTGCGGACGGCACCGACGATCCTTTGATTGAAGAATCGTCTCAGCCCTCGTTTTACAATCAAGCCTCCTCCAATCTCAGCCGGGATAGCCTCGACAGTGAAGCATTGCTTGACCATCGAGAACAGCCTTCCATCCGTCCGCGTCGAGAAAGCCGCCTAATTCCAAACATCTTTGCGCAATCCTATTCTGGAGGTTCTTTTTCTCGACCAGACAATACAGCCCGCCGCTCCTATCGCAGTCATCAAAAACCTTCCAGTCCTGGTGCTGAGCCTAATGAGGAGGACGTCTTTGATCATACTCCACTGCTTCTTGGCGCCTCTCAACGCAGGAGCCCCGTCGAAACTGGCTATGGCCTATTTAGAACAAAGTCCGATGATTCTACCCTCTCGGCCACGTCCAAAAAGCAGAAGAAGCGCACAAATGGCACTGTTTCCTCTCTTGCCAGATCAGATCCTACCTACGATGTCAACAATCCTCCTTCCGTCCCGACCAGCCCCAGCTTCGGTCCGCAGCATGACGATGTCATGGTCGATGATGGGAACTTCCTGCCTAGGTCACCTGATAGCAGAAGGAATCTCCCAGCTGCCACAAGAGACACTCTGATCGACATTGATGGTGATGGCGAAGGTGGTCCTAACTCCGCTCCCCCAAGTCCGAGACTCCGACCCGAAGGTCTACAACGTCACCGCGCCATGACTCTTCCTGTCGAGGGGGATGTCTGTTTCCCTGGTGATGAGGCTGCTTCCGAGGTTGCTGACGACCATTTCGAGCGAACGAGACATCCTGGCCGTGAATCGGGAGGCCCTCGGAGAAGACGTCGTCAACGTGAATGGCCGCAAGTCTGGGTGTTAGATGAGTGGGCTCGTCAAGAAAAGGAAGCCAGGGCCGGTGAGCGTCGGGCAAAGAAAATCAGCGAGCCTGTCTTCGTGAACGGAAGGCTTCGGGCGCCCAAAAATGCCTGGCATCGTGTTGAGGGAGATGTCCAGTATCGCTATACCTATTTCAACGAAGAATTCGAGAGCACCATTCACTCCGAATCCATCTCGGAACTGGTCCAACCTGGCTCCTCTTTCCGCGAATTGTTCATCCCTGAGCCCCCAGAACTCACTGAGTCCAGTAGTAGTGAGGATGAGGACCACCTTGACCAGCAGAAGGACGTGCTCCTGAGTGAAATGCAGAGTCCCAAAAGTCAGATTGCACAACTCGGGGGCCCTGCTGACATCTCGACACTCTCAAACAAGCTTAAGGTCGGTACTGAGCCCAACGGGAAAGGCTCTGAGAAGAACTCGGGATCAGTCACTCCACAAAAGAAGTCGACGCCTCCACGAACGCCCAAGACCAAGAAGTATGGCCCTCGTCCCACATTCTGGCTCGATGTTTTCTGCCCGACCGATCAAGAAATGCGGATATTGTGCAAGGCATTCGGCATTCATGCTCTTACTTCTGAAGATATCATGTTACAGGAAGCGCGTGAGAAGGTCGAACTCTTTCGCAATTACTACTTCATCAACTATCGAACATTTGAGCAGGACACCCAAAGCGAAGACTACCTGGAGCCCATAAACATGTACGTCTGCGTCTTCAGATATGGTATTATTACGTTCCACTTCTCACAAATTCCACACCCTGCCAACGTTCGGCGGCGAATAAGGCAGCTTTCGGACTATCTTATCCTTAGCGCTGATTGGATATCCTACGCCATTATCGATGACATTACGGATGTCTATCAACCTTTGATAACTTCGATTGAGGAGGAAGTCGATGATATTGATGACCTCATTCTCAAGTATTTCTCAAGGACCAATGAGCTAGGAGGGGGGAAGCAAGACCACAAGGACCCCAACAACGAGAAGGACCCTGACGCAGCCGAGACCTCGAGTGGGATGGAAATGCTGATTCGAATTGGTCAATGTCGCAAGAAGGTCATGTCGTTATACCGGCTACTAGGAAACAAAGCAGATGTCATCAAGGGTTTCGCCAAACGGTGCAATGAGCAGTGGGAGGTGGCGCCCAAATCCGAGATTGGCCTGTATCTGGGTGACATTCAGGATCACATCTTGACAATGACGGGAAACCTTTCCCATTATGAGACCCTTCTTGGGAGAGCCCACAACAACTACCTTGCTCAAGTCAGCATCAATATGAACGAGAGGCAGGAAAAGGTCAGTCCATAGTCTCGTCAAGTGTGGCTTCTTTTTCCATTACTTTTACTGACATTCTTATAGACAGCAGACGTCCTAGGCAGGCTGACGGTACTTGGAACGATCGTTCTTCCCATGAACATCATTACGGGCATGTTTGGCGGAAATTTCAAAGTCCCTGGCCAAGATGTCGACAACCTCAATTGGTTCTGGGCTACCACAGGGGGCTTGGTTCTATTTGGTATCATATGTTTCTACTGGTGCAAGAAGGTATACAAGGTTGTGTGAGCTCCGTTACGAGGCACCTTGGAAAGACAGGAAGCTTTGCTACGGGTTGAAGCGCTCAGGGTTGGTTGGTAGGTAGTTGATCTATCACAAATAGAGCCACGCTACATGTACATAGTGAGGATGCGTGGTCAGGTGTATATGCGACAAAGCTGACAGACAGAGGTTAGACTCAATCCAGAATTGGACAGCTCGCGCACCATCAACATCTCCACGTTCCTCCTTCTGTTGGCTAATGTGGGTGGCCGGGATCCGGACAGAATCTGGTTCAGCATGCACTATGGTCTCGGTGTTGACATGATGTTCATCAAACAATGCTTCTACTTACAGGATATTGACGGTTAGACTGCAGCTGCATCCGGGTGCAACAAAGGAGTCACTATAGATACGGGATACATACGCTTGATGTAGCTGCTTGCGGGTGCAACCCAGTAGTCGCTACACATTCGGTAGACATGTGTTTTGCGCAGCTGGAGAGGCTGCAACACCTTTCTTCATCTTCAGGATAGATGTTGGAGGATTTGGACTGTGCAATTGTACGGGCCAATCGATACCAGGCAAGTCAGCGTAGATGAATGAGATTTCTGTCCTCTTCTTCTACTCTATGGTCACCGTTCTGGTTTATATAGAAAATTACTAGGCAAAATGACCTCCTGGAGCCTATTTTCCATGATTCCAAAGCATTCCAGAGGCTGTAGCACTGACTCATTGATCGTCATCACAAGGTTGCCTGCCAGCCTGTTCCATCGATAGTCATTTAGGCGCCAACAATAGATATAGTTGACTATTAGTGGTGGGATGTCACAACTAGCCAGATACATTGAACGTGCCCTTTGTCCACTGGAGCTTTAGTTGTTATGTTCGATGTTCGACCGATGTCGATATCGAATCGGTCGAAAAGCATCGTCGCGTGGATGAAGCGCTGCTTACAAGGTTCCCAACCCTCCATCAAAAACGCCAGGCTTGACAGTGGCGTTCTTGACTTGACCAACTCTCCAGCAGCGCCCTAGACCATCAGACGTCGATGCTTAGCACTATGGTTATGGTGGTGGTGTTGGTGTTGGTGCTGAATGGCTGTGAGATCTCTATCAAAGCCCTTTTGCTTGACGTTCGTGATTGGTTCTCGGACTCTGAACCGCCCATCCAGCTCTGACCTCGAACCCGCGCTCTATAGCATTATTAGCCTTAACAAGGCCCAGTACGCAACGTCGCTCGCTCGTCAGCTCATGTTGGCCAGACGTGGAGAGGTCGCCGACTGGCTATGGATTAAAATGACCGGCGTTTGGAGTTCTCGTCTCACGCCCATTGCTTCTTCGTACCCGAGGCCCCTCTCAGTAGCGCGACACGCAGTTCTGAGATCCGAGAGCGCATCTCACGGTTTCCCCGTCCTCGTTCGCCTCACCTGACGACGGAGTCATCACCTTTGCCTCAGTTGTCACGCTCCGTTTCCCAATGTTGAAACTATCACAAGCCGAAGTTGTGTCGAAGACCAACTTTCTCTCTACCTTTTTACGCGCGATACCGAGAAGTAAGACATGAAAGACAAGATCCGCGTCTGCCCAAACTGGTCCGGCGCTCGCGTAAGTCCTTCCGTGTGGCTGGACGGTGTTTCAGTCGATTAGCCGAATGGTTAGAGCAATAGAAATGCCAAAATCGATTGGTCTGGAGCACGTTTGATGTCAATAATATTCGCTTCATGGAGCAATTTCTCACGTCCTCAGAGCGATATTCCTGGTTTTGTACGAAGTACTCCATATCGCTCTAGTACTAATTAAATTTCCGGAGTTAGCTTTCCATTTTTGAAGTTTTGATCGGACGGTGATATAACCGAAACTGCGCTAGATCTCGGGGTTGGGGAGGTGAGCCGAACTCAAGAGACCCAATTCCGGTCACGATTTCCCGCTTGGGGTGAACTCAGAAGCTCAGAATGTCGCAGACATGGAAGCGAGAAGAAGGAGCAGGATCCTGCCATGTGTTCTGGAAACGCGAAGTGTGTGCGATAGACGATGACTTTGGCGTACGGAGCAATATCCGCTGTCAACCATGTTTCTAGCGAAAGCGACTTGTTGCGATACCGAACTCTATGTGCCGTAAGGAAACGAGTGAACATGTACAGAGTACAAGCGCGGTCATACTCTCGACATGATGGGTTGTCCGATTGCATCATCTTTGCGGATGGCGACGTTGGGTGTCGTCAAGATACAGTGGGATCCTGACGAAAATTGGAACTTACCGTGCAGACAAGGCTCTGGGGATGGATGAGTGCTGATGATGTAGTTAATGGCACCGACAAGCTTGGTGGCGATGGAATCGATGGAACATACGAGTATGTAGTGCATATGGATCTATGGTGCTGCGACTCGCGCCAGGCTCGGGTGGGGAAAGGAAACATGAGCCATTCTGCGGATGTTATATTCTGCATTTCAGTCGGGACTCTGGACACGGCGTATGATCACCTGAGTCTTTTCGACATAAGGGCTCGGACGACGACTCAAGGTGCTCATTGCCTTCTTGAAGTGATTCAGGTCATCTAGTGCGGATAGAATGGAATATATTGATACTTTGTATAAGAGTACAACGTATATTTACTCGGTGGTCATCCCTGCCCCGAGGATGCTTCGATGTGAGGGGAAGGAGCGTCCCTCTCCGAATTTGTAAGTCGTACCCATGTCCCCCTGGAGGTATCTACCACATCTATCTCTACCTCTATCTTGACTTCTTTCATCATTGCAGCACATGTTGATCATTTCTCGTTCGCGTAGAGTTGTTCCGTCCATAAACAGATCACCACTACCTAAACCCACGAGCAGGTCACGGACGCTTCTTCGTTCCAGTATGTCTGAGTTCCCGCCACCTGCGTTGAGAGAAGCAGCCGAGGAAGTGGCGGCGATTCTCCGAGAGCGCAAGGAGACCATATCCGTGGCCGAGACAGCTGCAGGCGGCCTGGTCTCAGCAGCGTTGCTGGCCACGCCCGGAGCATCAAAAATCTACAAAGGCGGGTTGACGCTGTACACTCTAGAGTCTCGCATCGCCTTTGCAGGTTGGACCCAGGCTGATCTCGACACTTACGACGGGCCCACCCCGAAACTAGTCGCTGGTCTTGCAAAGCATGTCCGTGAGACGTTGAAGTCCACTTACACCGTAGGAGAGGCACGTTCTTTCCCTTCCTCAATCCTGCGGCGGGCCTCGAGCTAATTGACAAACGCAGAGTGGCACGGCCGGCCCGACTGCCAGTGGAGACAAGCCCAATAGACAACCGTAAGTTCCATCCTCGTCCTCTCGTCGTCTTGTCACGTCGTGGGCCGAGCGCTCACCTCTGGGTCATTGTTCCGGAGTGGCTGATAACCAATTTTGGTGCTGTGAAGGGGCTACGTTGCAGTGGCAGTGGTGGGGGAGAATGGAGAATTGAGCAAGGACCTCGAAACGGGCCTGGGGAATGATCGACAGGCAAACATGGTGGCGTTTGCGATTGGGGCGTTGAGGCTTGTCAAGGACTTCATCGGCCAGGGTGCGGACAGTAAAATGTGATAGATCATTTTTTCCGTGGATAGCTAAACGACCGAGGGGCTTGATCCAAATGCATTGCCGCACGATCTCCGAACATAGACCAATGACGTGAAGTAGAACTGGAATGATAATACGGAAAACCCTTGTTGATTTTTGACATGTCCAACGCCCGTCGCCAACCGCATATATCGAATTTTCGGTACACCAGGTTATATCTCTATCCCATTATGATGTGATGACGAGACAAAAAGCAAATTCGCCTCGCAGGAAACACCCCTGAGTAAGGGAGAACGCGGGCATTTGCTTCGAAATTAGACAGCGCCCGTGGTTGACAGGTAGGTGACGTGTGATCTAGGTTCTAGCTCGCTGCATTGAAGGCGCAAGATGATCCCTCCAGCCATCGAGCCACCCGCACAACCCGTTCGCATCAAGGGGTGGCACACTGTTAGAGATGGAGACTGGAGAAAGCCGTTTGAGAGGGAACCCGTCGGGGCCCAAGGGAAACCCGCCATTACGGAGTACGAGACCGTGGCTTGCATGAGATGGAATCCGAAAAAAACCGTGAGATCCTGAAGCAAAGCAAACGCTAGCACATAGCTTACTGGACGGTTGGGGGGTGCGGCGGATCCAGATGTTTGGATCCGAAGTTCACGGATCGCATGGGTATCATGCTTCCGCTGGCGAGTTTCGGGAGCCTTTTTTGACCTTCTTTGTTTGATGACGAAGGAGATACATAGTAGGTGTGGTAGTTAGTAGTGCGTAATCGGTCGTATTGGATGAGGCGAAAACGTAACGCACGAGGAAGTAGTCGGGATCGGATCGGACTTGTTGCTTCCCTGGAAAAGGCGTTCAAGGGCGACTGACAGGGTCACTGACCGTTTGGTCAGGCCAAGTAGAATAGGAATACACTGTGTGGAAGAACCTTGCTGCTCACCCACTCTTTGCAAGCATGTAGGAAAACATGGTTTGGTTTGGTTTTCTGACAGATTGCCATGCATGCATGCCGGCACGAAATAGATGGGACGGACGGATGGACGAACGGTGACCGTCGAGATGGGAGTTGGTGGGTGTGTCGAGTCAGGCATCGACATACAAACTGTGAAGTGAGATCCGAACATTCGGATGCTGAAAACCTCGCTGAGGCAGACGCCCACGCGCTTTGTCGCATCGCGTGCCACTGTCACTGCCACACTAGCATTTGACAGCTGTCAGAATGTCATTGATACCACGCCACCAGACGACCGTCGGCGAGGTTCTTGGCCAAGTGCCTGTCCTCTGGTAGGGTCCAACCTCAGGTAGCCTTGAAGAAACGCAGTGCGTTAATAGAGTAGAAAGGCGATTCTACGCTGGGGTCTGGACGAAGCCGGAAGCCAGGGCTGGTCTGCTTGAGGTTTCGTCCGGAGCATCGCCCAGGATGGAATGGTTGTCATACGCAGCGGACGTCTGGTGAGTTGTTGATCTGGAAGTCTAGCATACAGTATTTAGTTGGTGTTTACCTCAGGGAGGTACCAAATCCTGTATGGAGGATGCAGTTTGCCGCCCTCTAACTTACCAACATGCCACGGTGGCCCGCAACGGCAATAAAACCCGTCGTGTTGTTGGAGCGTTGACGGATTCCATGCACGCCAACACTGACAAACCGTTCGAAGGGAAGTGATTTAATCAACTGCAGTGCTCTCGCGTCGTTTGCATGATTTCAACAGAGGCCAATCATGAGCGCGTTGGAAGTGAGGCGGACATGCGAACGGTGGAGCAGCAATAGTACATACATGGGGTGTGTATCACCGACTCCGAGTAGTTCACAGATACATCTCCCGGAAGTACACACCGATTAGGGGACTTCCGAGTAGTAGTCGGCAGGTGTGGAGGACAAGGAACCCGTTACCGAATACACACGGAGTACAAAGTACTGTACAGAGTGCCTGGTACTTGGTAGCTGAGTCTGTTTGTCACTTGTGTGTCCTTTGCCGTTGCCCTCGCCTCGTAGTCATTGGTATCGCTTGTCTCCTCTGGGGCTATCTCGGGGTAGGGCTGGGCTGTACGGGTACGGAGTACACCGGCCAAGTGCACAGAGGGTCATACCCTACCTAGTGACCGAGCATTTCGTATACAGCCTTGCTTCAGAGCAACATCGTGGTTCGTAGTGCAATCATCACGACACCCATCGTGATTTACACCGAGGAGGAGTCATCTCTTTCGGACTGTGTGCCCCGTAGACACTGTTCCAGGTCAGACAGAGCTGAAATGAGCCCGACAATCAATCGGCGTTGATCGACATGCAAAGCCTGAACTAACATGGTTATCTTGTTGGATATAGCCTAAGGTCAGTGCGAGGTACATCATCACCCATAGTGAGGCTGTTGCGCGTGCAAAACCCACAAGTCGGCAGCTTTCATGTTTCCTATCATATCCCAAGGCGAGCTTTTGTCAGTGTTGATGGCAATGTCGACGGATGATCCTAACTCGGGTTGGTTATCCATGGGCCGCTCCCTGACTCCGCACACAGTCGCTACGCTGTATCCTTTGTAAAAACGATAGATGGAGTACGAGGGATGTATTCACTAGTGCCGAGTACTCCGTAGTCACTCTAGTGAGTGGTTGATCAACACAATTGCGAAGTCGCTTGGCCTTGGAGCTGGGTTTCATTTGCCTCAGTGCTGGATGGATGGCACGATGGGACAATGATAGCATTCGGGAGGGGGGGCCGGGGCGGTGGCGACGGTGGAGGATTCCAGTTCCAGTCTCCTCTCGGCAGTCGCATTGCTCTACCTGGATGGAAGATCGTTGACATATGCCTTTCGAATATTGTGGACGGCGAAGGGATATGGAGATATTCATCAGAATGCTCAACAGCCGTTCGGGTACTCGTGCTTACGACATACCTCATACAGGGCGTGCAGGTGCATTCCGAGCGTCCCACAGCAAACCACTTTCTCTGTCCTGGCGGCCATCAACTCTGCCGTTCGAACTTGCTTGGACTGTTGTACGGATCACCATTAAATTACTTGTGAATCACGGTAGATGGGCATCTTGCACGTTCAAAGGAAACATGCCTCCCTAGGAGCTGAATGATCGACCGTGCAGCCGACTCGTACCAACCATACCTCCTACCTCCTGGCGTATTGCCCTCGTATGTACAGCCTATTGGCCAGGAGACGAACTGTTCTCGGTCCCTAGGCGGGTCTAGATTTGGAGCTATTTGCATCCATGCGGTCCCGCGAAAAGCAAGAAGCATGCACGAGGATTCTACTTTGCAAATCATGACAAGAAGTAAAGCCCCTAGTTTGTGGCGTTGCTGTCACGAATGTACTCGTATGGTCAGCAGATTGTCGACGATTCGTAAAGAGGTACTGTACTCCGTGTGCCGTCTGCGACAAGCGACAAGCGACAAGCACTGGTCGTTGGGGAACCCCCGTCCACAGGGACAACCTCGATGCCCTACTGTACTCGCAAGGCTCGGCAGGTTCGGACGTGAGCCTGGCCGATCGACTGAAACACTCGCATAGCCTTAGCCTTAAGCCTTTTGCAAGACATGATTCCATATTTACAAACGTCGATTGATATTCCTTTCCCTGGTGGCACGGTTTTCCGGCCACGGGAACGCTAACTTGAACCTCCAGTGCTGTCGATCATGCCTGCGGCGTATCAGAGTTGATGCCCAACACAAGATGGGCGCGAAAGTCAATTGCAAGAAATCCTGTCCCGTCGCGTGTGGGATCGTCTGCGGAACCCGGGATGGATCGATGGTGTAAGCCGTGAAATGAATAAATGCATCCCATGGTTCGATCTCGACCCGGGTTGGATCTTGGATGGAGGCTACGGAGGGACTCGTACTACGAGGGTTAGATTGATTGGCTTGTTCAGTTGCAGCCACCGCGCATCATTCATCCATCCTGTCACAACTTCTTTGGGGCAAATGAGAGAATCAATCTAACCTTCCAGAAGGCCGGTAGCGCGGAGTTTATAACCGTATGGAGGATGCTTTATATTGGGAAAAATCATGGACCAACGTTGAGGTGGGGCATTTTCGTTGATGAAGAACACGGACGGAATGGTCGTATCCGCCTGCTTTCAACTCGGATTACGGAACATGGAGGGTTGTTTGAGGGCAGGGTTGAAGGAACAATTTCGAAGGCTTCTGGGTAGCCACTAGGAGATTCCACAAGGGCGACTAGTCCATTAGTCCTGAGTCCTGAGTCCTGAGTCCTGAGTCCTGACTCCTAGGGTGGGTAGCATCAAGGGCCCACCGTGCGACAATGCAAAAGGCAGTTGATTCTATGGACAGTGGACACTTGGACAGGCACGGATGCAGTCCTGTTCTGGAATGCCTGAAGGGTTCGGAAGAAGCTAACAGGATTGGGGTTGTCGCGTGAATGAATGGGTCGTTTCTCAAGCCTTGCCCATGCGAAACCCGCCCAGCCTGATGATGATTTCATCAGAAGGGATAAATCAAGGATGTCGGGCGGAGTTGATTCGTACAAGTACGGAGTAAGGCTCAGTTCAGACTCATTATCGGCGATTCGAGTGAGACAAGCCTGGTTCAGTGACTTGAGGTCCACACACCCATTTCGTATGCGTGTTGATCAAGTTTTGTCCATGCAACCCTGCGAGGAAGGATTTTGTTACAGTGGGTACATGCATATTGCCGCAGCCTGGAGTGCATGAACTGAAATGCACTGGGCTCCGTA